GGCGCCTGTATTAGGCGCAATTTCACGCCCTGCATTACATTTTGACCCAGATGTAAGTCAAGAACAGAGACTTGGCCTTGAAAAATCTTGATTTAGCACCGCTTGTACTTCTTACAGTTTATGTTGGCTTAATTAAGTGATCGTATACACCTTTCAGAAAACTGAAAAATTCGATAACCACCAACTACATTTGATACTCGTAGTTTATAGTAAAGTGTTATAAATAGAATAAAGGTTGATTTTATTGGAATGCAAATACATTTCACATCATGACAGGACGGATAATGCGTGCACTGTAAGTACCTCCCGTTGTCCCATACAAAGCCTTAGAAAAGTTTTCTAAGGCTTTGTATGGGACAGCGGGAGGTACTTACAGTGCACGCGTTTTCCGTCCTGTCATGTTTGAAAGGATGCGATTTCCCATTTGATTAATTTTCATTATTTTCCCGTTTTCAAAATGGCGGATCTTATGTCATCATATGAAATACCCCTCTCCCCCCAATCAGAGATATAGGTATGTACACTTCTCCTTTTCGCCGATTTGATTTTGCGTCAATTTTCATTGTTTTCTCGTTTTCCAAGATGGCGGATCTTATGGCGTTATATGAAATACCCCCCCCCCCCCCCCCCCCCATCCAGAGAGTTCACATGCTTTTTTTGCAGCAATTTAATTTTTATCACTTTGTCGTTTTCAAAGATGGCGAACCTTACAACGTCTTATGAATTACCCCTCCCCCTCTAATCAGAGATCTGGGTATGTCTACTTGTTCTTTTTGCCGATTGATTTTGCATCAATTTTCATCGTTTTCTTGATTTCCAAGATGGCGGATCTTATGGCGTTATATGAAATACCCCCCCCCTCCCCCCATCCAGTAAATTTAACGTGCTTTTTTGCAGCAATTTGATTTTTATCATTTTGTCGTTTTCAAAGATGGCGAACCTTACAACGTCATATGAATTACCCCTTCCCCTCTAATCAGAGATCTGGGTATGTCTACTTGTTCTTTTTGCCGATTGATTTTGCATCAATTTTCATCGTTTTCTCGTTTTCCAAGATGGCGGATATTAGACGTCATATGAAATACCCCTGACTAGAGAGTACACTTTCAACATTTTGGCCTTTGAAATACACCCCTACCCCCTTATCCGTTTTTTTTATTTGATTTGACGTCATAAGAATGCCTCGCAAGGCTGACTCGCATGCCCCGCATGTCTGACTCGCCTGGCTCGCACGTCTAACTCGCTTGCCTCGCATGCCTCGCTGGCTCGTACCCTATACAAACTCGTGCAATTTCACCAACGAGGGACAAAAGTCCCTCCAACGTATTGTTTTACAAACCGCCAACATCCGCTCGTAATATCCTAGTAATCGTAGAATTGGGCTTTAGTCAGTTTTGTTTGCTATGCGCTCTTGTCAGACTCTGGGTGGAGTTAACTTGTATCCGTTGAACAAAAATATTTCAACCGATGATGGCGAGCACATCGGAAACATATCCCAGTTCTACGAGCCATGATGATTTTTACGATTCGGGAATCACCACCAGAGGAAAGACATCCCAATGAAGATCAGTGGGTTGACTTCGATGCCTCAAACAATTCTTTGAATGCAGGATGTTTCATTTATGGAGAAATAGTTCCGGATTTAGAGAGTCAATTAGAAATTGAAGGTAAAGTTAAAATCACCTGAATACAAAGTATCACAAGCAGTCAATTCAGTGTCGATAACTTTTCAAATATCAAAGTTGATAAGAGGTCAGAAGTATGCAAGTGTGACAGGTAACGCGAACTTCAGTCGTAAAGTATCGTAACGATAAATGTAATTTAGTGTTATCAACTGAGTTGATAACGTAAAATGGCCACTGTAAAGAGTTTACAGGCTGACGTTTCGAGCGTTCGCCCTTCGTTAGAGCGATTGGGTAACGATAAATATCGCAGAGAATTTAGTGTTAACAACTGGGTTGAAAACGTAAATTAGCCACCGTAAAGAGTAAAAAAGCTGACGTTTCAAGCGTTAACCCTTCGTCAATCGCTCTGACGAAAGGCTAACGCTCGAAACGTCAGCTTTTTTACCCTTTACGGTGGCTAATTTACGTTTTCAACCCAGTTGTTAACACTAAATTACCTGCTATACTCTCCCACCGACGCAGCACCACAGTTTCTTTAGAAACTTACCCCTTTAACGATAAATATAGAGCGATTAGGTAACGATAAATGGTCTGAGTGAAACTTTGTTTGCCAGGCACAAGTTTGCGATCTCATCGATATAAAAACAATATTACCAAACGCTTATCGAATCGTCATCTCCAACTCTATCTCTTATTTATGAATTGTATGTTTTCAGTCCTCGGTGGAGATGTAGAACCCACAAACATTTGATAAAAGCACATTTTAGGCCAATTTTGTTGTTGCGAAAATTGATACGATGCATAATTCACTTCGGTTGAATTACACTAAAAATTAGTGAATCATTTCAGATTTCTTGGATTCCGTCGTTGTTTTCGATGTAGAACCCGGCCAAAACCAGAAGGTGCCCTCACAATGGCTTTGTAGAGTGGTTCTGCAGTACATTATTCCTTTCATTGCAGCTGACAGAGAGAGGGGATTGTTTTTCCGAGAGGCTTATTTTTGCCCTCTAATTGAGATACACATGTAGCATTATTACCAACTGTAAACATTGGTGGAGATATTAATTAAAATCTGTGATACTATTAATTTAGTTTTCCTCTGAATAGTAAAGGGTTTAAGGTTTTCAGAAGGTTGAGCATTAATTTCCCTGTGGTCTTTTGCAAGACAATGCAAGATTTAAATGATATATTTGTTCTCTATTTATTACATATACAAATCTTTTAAAATAGGTCAAAGGACTGAAATCGTGACTTGTTAATATATTTTGGCTAGAGTAGATTGCTTATTTGCTGTATAAAAAACCTTCCAATTTTATTAAATTAATGATATTTTTCATTCAGTTTTTGTATCTGATCATAAAAAAAGTGATATGACTTAAATTGTATGTTGTATTGCTTACTTTTTTAACATTTTAATATTCGAATTTTATCATGTGGCATTAAGCCATGTGCTATTTTAGGTACATAATTCCTGTTGAAAGTTAATTGACAGAATATTCGTGGCATCTGTTATTGACTGGTTAGAGAAAGACTGTTATATTCCTGTATCCATGAGTGAATTTCTGAAACATCTAGTGAATAAGAGGATGCAGAATTTTTGCAACAGTGTATAAGTGGTCACAGTGTTTCTGTGACATTCAGTGTATGAGTGTTCGCAGAATTTCTGCAATAACTTGTGAATGAGTGGTTGCAGAATTTCTGCGACACCCAGTGAATGAGTTGTTGCAGAATTTCTGCAACACCCAGCATATGAGTGGTCACAGAATTTCTGCAACACCTGGTGAATGAGTGGTTGCAGAATTTCTGCGACACCCAGTGGTTGCAGAATTTCTGCAACACCCAGCATATGAGTTGTCACAGAATCTCTGTGACACCCAGTGTATGAGTGGTTGCAGAATTTCTGCGACGCTTAGAGTATTAGTGGTCACAGAATTTCTGCAACACCCTGTGTATAAATGGTTGCAGAATTTCTGCAACATCCAGTGTGTGAGTGGTAGCAGAATTTCTGTGACATCCAGTGGACTAATGGTTTCAGAATTTCTGCGACACTCAGTGCATGAGAGGTTGCAGAATTTCTGCAACATTCAGTGACTGACTGTAAGCAAATTAGATGGATTACCTATGCATCTTTTCATGATTGTCCATTAACACATAGTTTCTTATGGACACGCAAAATATTGCAGAGAAAAATGTAAATTTTTCCAATTTATTTTAAATTTTGTCCACTAGATTTGATTATTTTTAAGTGACTACCAAACCTTGCAGAGGAAAATCATTAATTTATCCAAAAATGTGCTATTTTGGAAAACACAAAATAGTTTGGAAAGCGTTGAAAGTTTTCTATTGTCAAGATATCAACATTATTGTGGATTGCCATGCTCAACTGACAGGTTGACCTTGTGGATAATAGTGGCTCTGAATTGTTGGAAAACGATTAGATAGTCATTTGTCAATATAACTGTGACAAACGAACACATGCATCTTCAACAACGAATGAATTTTATTTTCAGTCTTTTATTTTGTCTCTGAATGGGAAAGGGGTATAAGACAAAGTGGATATCCTTCAAAATCCCACCGGGCGACCACCCGCGCATTTGATCTTTCGAAGATTGGTTCCCCTAAATTCCTTCCCCCAGGGGCCAAACACTGTGTTCAAATGCCCCCACCCAAAGACCGAATTTGATTGTCAATTATTGTCTTGTAAAAGACAGAATCAGCAACCATGACTTTCTACTCATTGACCAAGGTTTAAAACTTAGACCTTGCAAATCTTTTCTTCTGAGCCATTTGCCATTCTCTTTCTTTAACCGCCTCCATATTAAAAGATAAAACACGCGTATTCTGTTGGAAAAACGTTTCGCTTCTGATTCAAATTCCCCACCCCAGCCAGACAAGGTTCAAGTTACCCCCCCCCCCCCAAACCTGGGTACACTTGACAGTCAAATGCCCGCGGGTTGCCAGGGGTGGATGTCAAAGCTTCTAATTGATCGGTGCATATCAGACCTTTCTTTGTATCTTCTGAAACATTATATTTCAAAATGACCTCAAACTGATAAACAACTTTGATTATGCTAAAATATATAATCCTAATTCTCGAGAGTTCACACAAAAACATGTTAACACTTACTGGGGTTGGTTTATTGAAGTTCTTATGATTTGGATATTCTAAAACTTGGTAAATACAATTTTGCCTTCTAATGTGATACTAAATAAGTGGCTTAGATGAACTCAAGAGCCAGGCAAAAGCAACTAAACTTGCATACAAGAATGTGTTTGATCCACAGTTGAATATACTTTGAATACGAATAATCGCACACATAGGTAAGAATTAACTTCTGTCAAGATTGTCAGTGTCCACAACTTGATCAAAAAACCCTAATCTTTGATGTTGTACTTTGGCCAGTAATCAAGTTTGTCCGCAATACACTCGCGGTATTCTTTTTCTGTGTGATCCGTGTTTATCTCACGAATCCACTTTATACGTAGATTTTTGCCGCCATTATATTCAAACTGTTTTTGAACGTATTGATCTATGGCCAGATCCTGCCTCTTGTGTTCTACCATCCTCCGATGTACATCATTCGAGCGACCCACGTAGAGAACGTCGATGTCTTCTAAAGGAACTGTTTCTCCAATCAAGTAAATACCTTCTATGTGGGGTACTTTTTCAACTTCATATGGTTTCCATTGTTTGTCAAGGAGACGTTGGCATATTGAAGAAACCATCTTTTCGTAAATCTTTATAACAGAAATCTATAAATCTGTGAGAGTGGTTAGAGGACTACAAATAAGATCGTGAGTCTCCAAGGACACAGTCAAGATTCTAAAAAACAAAAACATCAAAATTTGTTCACCTTATTGGTTTTTTAAGCTTTCTGTGGACTCCTGAAAGAAAATTTTTAAAAAAGTAATTCAGTGAGGTAACAATATGCTTCCCAGGATGAGCGTCTCGAGGTTTTCAAACGCCTCTTTTATGTAGAAAGCAGCTCCTGGTATTTGATTGCTAGATTTTAGAACTGAAATAACACGGGAAGGTGTCGAAGTTCAGTAGAAGCTAATACATGTATGTTAGTTTCAACGTCTCGAGCTTCGACCTCTTCTCAAATGCTCCATTTGCCAGCCAGAACTGAAACAAACGCGGCGTATGATTATTATTCAACGATTGATAGGATAAGTCTCGTTTGATAAGACACGGTCAAAAAAATGAAAAATGGCTGCGCTTAATTGAACATCTACAATCATTATGTTTTACTCCTCACAACATCTGGTATTAGTCTGAGCTTGGATGATCAGAGCAGACTTGAAACGCTCAAGTTAAGCTGACATCGATCGACTAGCTTGGTTTTATTTTCAACATTAATCCGGTAAAAAGCATTTAGACTCGTTACATTAACTATAAATTTTGGCGCCCAAATCTAACGGGCTAGTGACACTCAGTGTCAGTTCAAAATTATTAAAACAAGCTGGTGTTTTCACCAAATAAATTACAGACGTTCGCGCAAAAATACCGCAAACGTCTTAGGGAACCATTACAGTCATCACGCTTTATGAGTTTTGTCAATCGAGAACAATTTCTTACTTAGCTTATGAGTATGTCATCATTGCAGTAATTATCGCTAAATATTTCTGCCGAGAACGTTTTCAAAACATTGAAGTTTATATTTACACATGGAAAGACAGAAATCTACAAACATAGCCTAACTGCGAAAATTTGGAGTTTTCCCCTTTTCTCCTTAACGGAGAATTAACTGTTTCCCGCCCAAACGAACGACAGTGGCCCAAAAGTAAGCTTACCTTACTCCCTTGAACTGTGTTTGTACTTTTTCACGGAGTGTGCGGCTAAACTTATATCACTTCTTTTTATGAAAACTAAACTGTGTTGGCTGGCCAATGAGAAAACTCTTTTATTACAACATCTCGAGTTTTATTGGCTAGATAGGAAAGGGACTTTCCCGTAATTGACTTCTATCGTTGAGTATTTGGTATCGCTTTTCTGAGAAATGGTCGTTATAATTACTTTCTCAGAAACTTCATATTCGAGTAGAAGGAGTAGAAGTTAAGATCAGACGGAAATGTTGACGCCGAAGCCTCAGGAATATAATCACCACGTCATGTCAACTTTTGGCCGAACGGTTGGCAAGAAACAAATAAGGGAAATATCCCTTACAAAGTTGTTTATCTTAACATCAAGGGACATTTTGTTCAAAACTGAAAGTACTGGCACAGCAGATTCCTCTTAGCAAATGACGCAACCTTCTCCGTTAACATGTTTACAGTCTCGACGGCTGAAACATTTTACATTAAAGATTTTAGTAAATGACTGCCACAACAAGGTGCAATATTGCCAGTGTACTCAAAGTGTACTTTGAACTTTCTGTCAGATTTTGTTGCGCGCGTTACATTTGGATAATAAAAGGTCGTGAATTACAATGTGTCTCTGTCTATTCATTGGCAGCTTGCCCTTTATAGATCTTTCTGGCGGATTTTGTTGCGCGCGTTACACGCGGGTGATAAAAGGTCATAAATTACAATGTGTAGCCTGTGGAATCATGTCTCTGTCTATTTATTGGCAGCTTGCCCTCTCCAGATCTTTCTCGTAAATGATCACGGTGATCGATTAATTTCTTTTGTTCAAAACATCTTCTCAATTATTTTGATTTCTTGACGTCAATATCTTTTTCACTCAGTTAGCAAAGGAGACAGACGTCGATCTTCTGGATTAACCCTTTAACCCCTAAGAGTGACTGGCATCTAATTTCTACTTACAATATCTCCACTGAATCACACATTAACTTCATGAGAATAAAGGAAATGATCACCAATTAAGGAAACTCTTGATTGTTAGACAAATTCTCCTTGTCAGCGTCTTAGTAAATGTACAAAGAACAGCAGGGAGAATATGAACACTGATGTTAGGGTGTAATGAGTCAAATTGGAAAGAGCTTCGATACTAGCTCTTCAGGGATCACAAACAAACTTGAGTTCTCGTTACTAGATCTTGATTTTGAGCACCAATGTCAAATTGCATGAGTGGCAGTATAGATTGTTTCAGCGACAAGGAACAGATCTTATCTTCCAAAGAGCTGAATCTGGGAATGAACTTTAAAGCTGGCGAGTGATTTTATGTTTGGAAACTAATACTAGACATCATCAAGGTTTTAAAACAATTTCCCACCGTCAATATTAAATAGCCTTTGTCATTAGTTCAATCAGAGTTAAAGAATTCATCCATTGATTCGTATTTTTCAATGTATTGACCCTCAAAACTCTTCTATATCTCTCCTATGCGAAGCTTGGGGAGCCTCTTTCATTTATCAAATTTCAGCCCTACTTCAGGATCGCCTTTACTGTGAGTCACCCCAGAATAGGACATAACGTGGGTTCAATAAAATTCAAATCTGTGTGCGTCACTTTTGTGCAGTACTTCACACTTAACCTCAAATTTGACTATCAAGTTTCCTTAATTTTTGTTTCAGTGTCTTTGAGCTTCACGAGCAACCCTACCAAGTAACAGTTGACATGCATTTAAACGGTAGAGTCCTCGCCAGAGAAATGGGCATGTGTTTCGTTTTAACAAAACCATCAGGGATCAGATACTTGATAAATTCATTTTTCTTAGCAGTTTTAGGGGAACGAAACAAGGGAGGGGAAGGAAGGGATGAAGAAAGACCGAACGCCGGCTCGCAAGGTTGGAGAGAGCTTGGGAAACTTGTTTAAAACTCGGCACTAATTAGGAGCGTGTCATAAGGTGAAGAAACGTTTTTAAAAATTAAAATAGCCATGCTCTGACGCATTTGGCATCAAAATCCATTAATCCACGGTGATACAGTCTAGCATTCTCTCGATAACTGAAAAAACATGGTTGTGGTCATATAAGGTCTTTTGTAAGAGCGAAGCAATTCCATAACGAATCGGAACTTTGCTCGTTCTCACAATATTAATTTTTGATGGAGCTATCGAAAGACTTAAAGTAGGAGTAATAAAGAAACGGGACTATTTTGTAACGGCTATTTGTATTTCGTGAATAACTTATGCCGATCGATTTACATACTTTAAAATGTCCTTTCTGTACCACTTAGATGAATACTAAAAATTACATGTTTTGTGGATACATATGGCAATCATTTCTACTCTCAAGCTTAAGTGTACTAACAACTGATGACTGAGTAACTTCTAAGCTCACAAACTGAAAAGATAAAAAAAACTGCCCGATCGATTCTCTAAAACATGTCTTTATCATATTTTAGTTGCCTCTACCTATTCTGTTGTATTTCAACTTATAACCCAGCTTATTCTCAACGCATTTGATGTAAACAGTCTCCTTCTCCTTGTGTTTAGGCTCTTTAATCCACTTAACGCAAAGATCTTTTCCGCCATTCCGTCGAAATTTGAGCTTAACGAACTTGTCAATTTCTTGATCGCCATATTTGTGTTGTTTCAGTCTCGCATGGACGTCTCTGGATTGGCCAAGATAAAGGTATTTGATTGCCTTTTGTCCGCTCATCGTGCAATTGACTCCTATCACGTATATGCCTTTTTGGTGAGGTATCTCACTGACATCCGTGTACTTTTCCCACGGTATTTCGTAGATAAGTTTGTTGCAAACTCTGTCAGCCATCTGTTCAAAAACGAACACTTACTGAGAAATATCCAATAACAAAAGCTTTTGTGTCGACAGAGTTATATTTCAGTTAAAAAAATAAACAAGAAGGAAAATTAGAATACATAATTCGATAAAAGAAGAGAAAACCTTGACCTCTAAGGAAGAGAAATGCAATTGACAGTGTTATTTCTGAACTGAACAAACAATAGGGCGGTGAAACCATCGATTTGACTTTGTAGAAATAATTCTGGATAGAATCATCTGAATAAACTCTAGTACAACACTGATAGCTTTGAGTGACTCATCACGGAAAAAGAATGGCCGCAAAATGCGCGTTTAACCCTAGATTTTCTCACTCGACGAAGTGGAAGCAAAATATGGTGACAATGTTCTGTACGATTTGATTCTGTTCTGCTGTTGCCGCTCTGCATGTACATTTAACGCGACCGACCTTGATCGTCTGCGTTTACGTTTTGATTGTCTACATAAAAACTCTCAAAAAAGCTATGAAAGACCAAGAAAAATTGCTTACCTCGAAATCTGCCGACTAGATTCAGAGTTTTTTTTTTCAGCGATTCAAATTTACCGCGTGGAGTGTTAATATGGGCTCAAGTGCACAGTTTGCTTCTTCGCCGATTTGAATCTTCGCGCCAAAGCTTACGAAATTTATACACCACTTGATGTCCTATTTTTGGCTAATTATTGTAAGGGAAATATCCCTTACAAATTTTTTTATTTTTAGATCAAGGGATATTACCATTCAAAACTGAAAGTGCTGGCACAGCAAATTCCTCTCAGAAAATGAAGCAACCTCCTCCGATAGTACGTTTTCATTCTCAAAGGCTGGAAAATTCACACATTTTAATGAATGACTGCGACAACTGTCTATGAATATGACCTATGCAAAAGTAAACAAAATGACTTCACGGTGCTTAGGAACCTCGAACTCCCACTTTAGCGCCGTTCAATCTTCATAACAGAAATAGATAAATCAGTCAGAGTGGTTAGAGGACTACAAATTTTGGCGCCTAAATCTAACGAACGAATAACGCTCAGTGTTGATTCAATATTCTTGAAACAAGCTCGTGTTTCCACAAAAAATTTCAGACGTTCGCGCAAAAAT